TGATTGAAACTGCTTGCAGTTCAGTCCATGCTGAGTACATCCACAACACCCTGAGCATCCCTGGAGCATTTACAACTACATCATGGTAACCTGCTGATCAGGTTTATATACTACAGTGATGATGATTCCATATAAATTGAAAACTGGTACATGTAGTCTTGAACTATATAACCAGTCCTATGATTGGAAAATAACATTTATATCTGATGGGTAAGAAAGGTTACTGTCCATTCTCTGCTACCATATCCTCTGCAAGAGTTCAGTCATTTATGCCCTGTCTCTGTTAGGTTTGGTACAATCCAGCAGATGGTAAGAGTTCCAGCAATGCTGCATGAAACCTAACCGTTATCCTTATGAGCTCATTTTAATGCTGATCCAGGAACAGAATGAATGACATTTTTGTGGGCATCTGCTTTTGTATGATGGCAAACTGATCTAGATACAGCCAAGACTTTCTAGTGTGCATTAGAAATCCCCTGATACACAGGAAGCGCATGTAATGCAGAAAGGAAGTGAGTCAGCTGTGTGTGTAGGTGGGATTTGAAAATGAAAGACTGTCCGGCATACTAGTGAGATGAATTGAAATTAAAGTTTAGTGTCACTTACCAGCATTTAAATCAGAAGAGACTGTAGCCATCTTGTGTCTAGCTGGTGCGTCTCCTCGTCTCGCTCTCTTTCTCCCCCTTTCGCTCTCTCTCTTGCTGTGTAGTCTCAGCAGCCAGTTGCCTGTGCTCAAAACATGTCCTTCTCCCCTCTCATCTCCCTCCTACTCTCTTGCCCTCCCTCTTCAACTGATTTAAAATTATTATACAACACCCTTGCACCCTTTCCCTTTGCTTCCTTTTCACCCTCTTTCTTTCATGAAATGATACATTCAGGGACAAACAGCAGGAGGGAGCTGGGAGAAAGAAGCAAGTAGAGAGAAGAAGAGGGATGTAGGGAGGAGTGAGTGAGTGAAAAAAATATGTGGCTTGTGATTGTAATCTTATGAGAGCTAGTGGGCTGAGTTTGACTAATATTATACCGTAAGCAGCCTCCCACAATTCTTGGGTAGTAATACATAGTAATTTGTGGGGTGGAGCAAAGGCTGTCATTAGACCAATGAAATCATGGAAGTATCAAGTTTAGCCCTGCCCTCCTGATTCTGCAGTCTGACCTAAACCCAGCAGCACTGAAACACTAGAGCAAGGGACACCAATGCAAAGAAAACATCTCTCTAAAACGGTAAAGTGTCATAAATTAAGTCAGAAAAAGCATTCTTATATTATACAGCAGTATGGGGAGTACAAATTAGGTAAATAAAGCAATATTTATATAATTAAACAATTGTTTGAAAAAAACTGAATTAATGAAAACAATTAAACAAATAAAATTACACAAATTTGAAAAGCTTTACAAGTTGCAAAGTCCAGGATTCTGTGTTTTAATATTTGAAAGGGATTCAATTATAATTATAATAGTTACAAAAAGGCAACTATTGTTTTGTGAATATAAAATTTAGCTAAACATTATTAGAACATTAAAAACTCGGGACTGTTGTAGAACATTGAATCTGTTAGATTACTTGGGATGATAAACTCTTAGAATAAAATATCAGAGGATGGCTCTATACAAAGGAGACTTTGAGAAAATCTCTTTAAATAAGGCATTAGCATAGAGTCTTGTTAGAGATGCTAAACATATTTAATGAAACGGAACATAAACATGTTCTGTTAATATCCATACGCATAAAGCATTTATTTCTCTCATTTATCTGTATATTATCTTGCTTATTGATCACATTTTCAAATAAATTAAAAACCTAAAAGCAGAAACACTAGATGGCATCAAATTTGATATATTAGGCTATATACAGTATATATATATATATATATATTAGTGCTGTCGCATCCAAAATAAAAGTTTTTGTTTCCATAATATATATGTGTGTGTACTGTGTATATTTATTATGTATATATAAAGACACACACATACAGCATATGTTTTGAAAATATTTACATGCATTTACATGTATATATTTATATTAATATAATTTATATTATATATAAATATATTTAATATATAAACGTAACATATTTTTCTTAAATATATGCATGCATGTGTATGTATTTATATATAGGCTACATAATAAATATACACAGTACACACAAATATACTATGTAAACAAAAACTTTTATTTTGGATGGGATTAATCGTGATTAATCATTTGACAGCACTAATATATATCATTTGTATATGTATATCTTAACCTATACATATGTATGATCAAACCTACACTATGCTCTCTGCCGTTCTTCTATCAGAACTGTCGCAAATCTTGTAAGCCAATTATTAAACACAAAATAAGGATCTGGTAGAATAAACACAGTTTTAAAATTAATCAAGAATAGTGCACTGAATATAGAATTTAGATCTCATCATGTACAGACTGAAATCACTTAATTTTCCAGCACAGAAGGTGGCAGAATGCACCTAAAACGTTTATATTCGACCCGCCAGTAATCCACAGAAGAAGAAGAAGAAGAAGAAGAATCTAAAGGTGCGTCCCAAATCGCGTACTTATGCACTAGTCTATGACGTTCTGTAGTATAAATAGTGCGAGTAGTGCGTTCACACTGAAAATTCCAAAAAGAAAAAGTGCACTTTAAATACCCGGATGATGCACTTAAATAACCGAAAAAACTAAGTGTGGAATGATGGACACTTCATGCACTCAACTGTCTCAGCTTTAATTACTTAGCTAAGGGGGAGGGGCTATCAGACTCTGATGCTAAGTGGCAAAATAACCTTATAAAATTCATACACTACATGATTGAGTACATAGTGTATAAGTACATAGCGTATGAGTACATAGTGTATAGTGCATCATTTGGGACGCAGCTTAAGTCTCCTCCTGGAAACTTGCACCAGAAATCCTATCCACGGATAGAAATTAATTAAGCTTTAAGTAAAGCTGAATTCAAGAGAGTGTTATCAATTGAAATAAGTAAGATATGGCAAAAGTTATGGAATAGTGGGTCAAAAGAAACAGATTAAGGAGTTTGTTGGAAATGAGAGGAAGTATTCGAGATTAAGAATTGGACATATGATACAGCATTAAACTATAGTCTTCATTGGGAAGCATAATCGGGAAAGTGTGACAAATGTGGAGAATCAGAAACAGTGAAGCATATTCTTTTTGAGTGTTCTGCATATGAAAGGGAGAGATTTCAATTAATTCAATAATTAATTAGATAATGTTTCTTTAAAAGTATTGTTAGGAAATGGGTCAAAGCAATCAAGAGTGCATGAAATATTATTTAAATACCTGAAAAACACAGGAACAATAGATAGAATCTAGTTTTTTCCCCCTTCTTCCAAATCTATGCACACTCCACACTCCAGATCAGTAGGTGGCGGTAATGTACTTTTTTTTTTCCACTGGCTTGCCAAACCGCCATAAAACACCAGAAGAAGAACTTGCATAATTTTTTATATAGCACAGGACTAGATAAAATAATATAATATAAAAGATGTTCTGTTTCGGTTTGGAGTTTAAGGGGTTCAGTGTGGAGGACGGAGGAGCTGAACACGCAGCGCCAACCGATACCTGGACTCTTGATGGCTTCAGAGTTGAGACAGAACAACTAATATAATAAAAGAAAATCCTGATTGCATAATAGCACAGTAGGTGGCGATATGCGCAAAGATTGCAACTAGCCATAAGAAGAAGAAGAAGAAGAAGAAGAAGAAGAACACCACCCGCAAATAAGCTCAAAGAAATTTCAATTTACACAAAATAGGGAAGCATGAAAATGGAAGATGTGATAAATGTGGGAATCCAGAAACAGTAAAGCACATTCTTCTAGAATGTGATGCGTATGAAAGAGAAAGAATTCAACTTAATCATAAATTAGGTTTGATGGGATATGATAAAAGTATCACTCAAGATATTACTAGGGAATAGACAAATGCAATCAAGAATTAAAGAAGAAGTGTTAAATTATCTAAAAAAGACAGGAAATATGGAAAGAATATAAATTGTAATTGTGGGATTTTTATTTATTTTATAATATCCTTCTCTCTACCAAATCTGTTCACTCCACACTCCAGATCAGTAGGTGGCGGTAATGCACCTTTAAGTTGGTTTGCCAAAACCGCCAAAAAACATCAGAAGAAGAAGAAGAATAAGAATAAGCTCAAAGAAGAATACTTGATTTAAAAAAAAGAGTTTGCACTGTGGAAAATAAGGGAGGAAACAGGAGAGAAGAGACTATTATGACCAGAGTAAGAATAGGGCATAATAAATTAAATAGCACTCTTCATATTATAGGAAAACATCCAACTGTTTTTTATGATGTTATGTCTATCTATTCAAGAATAAAGAATAAAGGTGATGAGGTTATATTTATGTGGGTCCCAGCACATATGGGCATTATAGGAAACGAAAAGGTAGACAAAATAGCTAAGAAAGCACTGCAAAAAGAGAGCATAGAAGCAGTCATCAGCCTTTCAAGATCAGAAGGAAAGAGTATAGTGTGGGGAAAAATTATTAAAGAATGGCAACAAAGGTGGGATCAAGAACTAAAAGGAAGACATTTATACTTGATTAAAAAAAGAGTTGGCACTGTGGAAAATAAGGTAGGAAACAGGAGAGAAGAGACTATTATGACCAGAGTAAGAATAGGGCATAATAAATTAAATAGCACTCTTCATATTATGGGAAAACATCCAACTGGGTTTTGTGACCAGTGCCAAATACCTGAGACTGTAGAACATGTGCTTATTAATTGTTCAAAATATGAATTACAGAGGATGGATATGATAAATGACATGGAAAAAATAGGACTAAAAGGACGTGGAGTAAAGAATATAATGGACTGCAGTAGGAGTGAACAAGGAATGAAATATTTGATTTGCTTTCTGACTAAAACGGGACTCATGACAGGAATATGATGACTAAAGTATATAGGAAATAACTAGAACCAGAAGATGGCAGTAATGCAACGTTAAGGATGCAAGCTGCCGTTAAAACCCAAAGAAGAAGAAGAAGAACTTGCAGCACCAGACTTGTAGTCCGCGTGTGGACAGCGCTGCACTGACCCGCTGCTGTAATGGAGGGATCCGGGGAAGAGTTCATGAAATACCGCTCACCGCTGGTGTCCCGGTACGCCAGCAAAGAGATGGCCTACAACTTCAGCGACAGGAAAAAATTCACCACATGGAGAAGACTGTGGCTTTACCTCGCTAAGGCCGAAAAGGTCAGTTTATTTATTTTGGGTTTATTTCTACAGACTATCTATATCAGGGGTGTCAAACTCAATTCCTGGAGGGCCGGAGCCCTGCAGAGTTTTGTTCCAACCCTGCTCCAACACACACCATGTAGTTTTCAAATAAGCCTGAAGGACTTGATTAGTTGGATCAGGTGTGTTTAATTAGGGTTGAATCTAAAGTCTGCAGGACTCCGGCCCTCCAGGAATTGAGTTTGACACCCCTGGTCTATAGAGTAATTACGTTAGCCCTGTGATTCTCTGAATGCCAAGTGCGACTCTGTCTTAGGTTTTTGACCTTGAGTGAGTGGAAGTCTCAAGTTGCCAGCTCTCTTAGTCTAAAAATAGTTTAAAAGGGTGGACATGAGTTGTGTTGCAATATTTAATATTTTACAAGTGGACCAGACAAAAAGTCCTGAGGTGATACCATAGTACATTGATGGTATTACGTGGTAGTATTGTAGTACTGTAATATATATGATAGTACTGAAGTGTATGTGCCATGCTGTAATGGTGCTTGCATTGTATATGAACAGAAACAACAATATCACCTGGTACTCTTTGTAAGTGGTGCAATATCATATCATGGTTGCTATAATTATGAATGTTGCTATAATTATGTACGATGGTATTTTGTACATGCTAGTCCAATGTACTTCTATTCATGGCTTTACTATGGAACACGTATAATATATTACCATAGCAATGTGTCTAAAACAGTACTACAGCAGTATGATTATTTGCACTGTTGTATTTTTGTATGTAGTATGCATATTGTAGTAGGTTTATTTTGCATGCATTTTTATATCTTTCTATTTTACACCTATAAACTGGGTCTCAATATGTCTTGTGTATGTGGCTCTGTATGTGGCAGGTTAAATGTCACTGGATTTCTCAAACCTTAAATTCCCAGTAAGCCATTTAGAAGATAATGTTGGGACTAGTATTAGAAGAAAACCCTCAAATTCAGATAACAGATAATCAGTTGCTGAGACTAACAATAGTCGACTTGATTAGAAATGGATATTATTGACTGTAGAACAGTGAAATTTGCTTGTTTAGCTGACATGGGTCGACTGTCATATTGATTGTTTGTTTGATTTGTGTAAAGAAATCAAGAACTAAGATTGTGTGATCACCCAGTAATCCATAAAGCTCCAAATAAAGGCCACAGTCTGTTTGACTAGCACTTAATTGAACACAGTCATGTGGTCACATGGTGGTCATTCTCTGACCTGTGGAGACAGACAGGATTCTGTTCGCCGCTCGTATGATCTTGCTCTGGAAATAAAGTTACGCTACAGAACTTTACTGATGTAGTCCTCGGGACACACTGAGGCGGCACAGACAGCCCTGGGAAAGAGTGTGTATTTCCAAAATAACTAATGTAAATGTCAGGGTAACCGGAGAGTGGCTCTTGAGAGTTGACCTTTACCCTTTCTCTGTCTGTGTATTGCTAAAGATGAAGTGAATGTGCTTATTTCGGTTTACTGTCAACCATTTTCTAATGTTGCACCGATATTGCAGATTTGGCCAATATTATGAGAAAACATTTACTTTACAATTTGTTTTTATAAAAATATTATTAGAATTTAAAAATCCTAAAAAAATTAAATCAGTTATGTATAGGCTAAAAGTAATTAAAATGTTGAAATAGATATTTATTTTGCGATTTGCTACAAATTCCATTTAACAGTCTTACTAAATGTTTCTAAAGATTAACTTTAAGCGAGTGCTAGATGGTGTTAAATGTAACAAATAATAGTAATGAGAACGCACAATTAAATAAAGATGATACTGAAAAGATATTTCGCTAGCTTCATCGCAACTATCTCTTTATCGCTCTAATATATCCTCGCTGCAGGAATTGGGTCTCTCCATAACCGATGCCCAGGTGAGCGAGATGGAGTCTCACTTGGAGGACATTGATTTCGTCATGGCTGCGGAGGAGGAGAGGAAGTTGAGGCATGATGTCATGGCTCATGTGCACACGTTCGCTCACTGCTGTCCCACCGCTGCTCCCATCATCCACTTGGGCGCAACTTCCTGTTATGTGGGAGACAATACGGTGAGGCCAAAATATTACCGTGCCATTATTATCTGTTACTTTGGCTACTATTGTTTGGACTCCATGGATTTATTTCATGAACTCCTGGAATTTCCTGAGCCGAATGGTTATAGAGGGAACATGAATTAAATCCATTTCTTTAATTTTAATGTTGCAATTAATAGAAGTGTATATATATATTAGTGCTGCTTGAAAGTTTGTGAACCCTTTATAATTTTTTTCTATATTTCTGCATAAATATGACCCAAAAAATTATTTGATTTTCACACAAATCCTGAAAGTAGACACAGAAAATCCAATCAAACAAAGGAGACAAAAATAAGGTTTCCTTCTATGAACTGCTTGCTTCAGGTCCTTCCACAAAATTTGACTCCATCATTCCAAAACATTAACTTTGTTCTTCTTTAACCATTCTTTGGGAGAACGACTTGTGTGCTTGGGGTCGTTGTCTTGCTGCATGACCCACTTTCTCTTGAGATTCAGTTTTCGGACAGATGTCCAGACATTTTCCTTCAGAATTTGCTGGTATAATTCAGAATTCGTTGTTCCATCAGCAAAACAGGCCCAAACCATGATACTACCACCACCATGTTTCACAGATGGGATAAGGTTCTT